TAATGTAATTCTGGGAGTAAAAAAGTATCCAATCTCATACTTACCAAAATCCTTTCAATAAAAAGTAAACTACATTTTCTGGACAAGAATGTTATTTTAGGCAAATTACTTTGTCAGTTTTCAACTACAATCAATAGATTGTATTTATAAATACAAATAATATAAAAAAAGGAATGTATTTACATTCCAAAAGGAGGCAGAATACTACATAAGAGAAATATTTCATGACAAACCAGGTCTTTACTGCTTCATCCAAATCAGATGTATTCCTAGCCCTTGGATATTACCATTTATCTTGATACTATAGTTGAAATTCTGTTATTGTCATTGCAAAACAATATCATGAGGAATTTGGATCTTTGGAATTTGTCATGTTAAAAGGAGCAGCTTACAGTTTTTTCTACTGTCATAGGTAGAAGTAAAATCTGGAGAAGAAGATGAAGAAATTTTATTTAAAGAGAGAGCCAAACTCTATAGATGGGATCGAGAGGTCAGTCAGTGGAAGGAGCGTGGTGTAGGAGACATAAAGATTCTTTGGCATACAATGAAGAGTTACTACCGGATCCTAATGAGAAGAGACCAGGTTTTTAAAGTGTGTGCAAACCATGTTATCACTAAAACAATGGAATTAAAACCCTTGAATGTTTCGAACAATGCTTTAGTTTGGACTGCCTCAGATTATGCTGGTGAGTTCTACATTCAGATGCTACTTTTCACTTTTTTGGACTTTTCTATAAAATCCATAACAAATATACGACAGTTTATAACATTTATTTTAATATTAAGGTACGTCCCTGTGTTGTTTTGTTGTTTAACAGATGGAGAAGCCAAAGTGGAACAGCTTGCAGTGAGGTTTAAAACCAAAGAAATGGCTGATTGTTTTAAAAAAAAATTCGAAGAATGTCAACAGAATTTATTGAAACTCCAGAAAGGACAAGTATCACTGACAGCAGAGTTATCGAAGGAGACAAATCCTGTGGTGTTTTTTGATGTTTGCGCAGATGATGAACCTCTAGGACGTATAACCATGGAATTATTTTCAAACATTGTTCCTCAGACTGCCGAGAACTTCAGAGCACTCTGCACTGGAGAGAAAGGCTTTGGCTTCAAGAACTCCATTTTTCACAGAGTAATTCCAGATTTTGTTTGCCAAGTAAGTATTTAATTGTATATCACAGTTGAAGTCTAGAAAAGTGAACCACACTAACTTGAGAAATTTGAGTGTTTCTCTTTGCCTGGAATTTTCTTAAGATTTCTTTAGCTTTTCTGTATATTAGTTGGTGTCAGCACCCAACTTCTTGTCCCCACAAAAAACTTTTAACCTAAAAATGGTTTAAATTTCTAATACCTTGAAACCTACTAGAAATTGAGGGTGGGAAAAAGACCTTTTCATTTTTTTCTTTCAGAAATGGGTATTTCTTAGTTTTCAAACCACATTCTCAAGGAAGCTGAGTTTTTAGGACTTAATGTGTAGTGGTAGATCTGTGTGTATTTTATTATTTTATTCAGAATTCCTATTAATTGAAATCTTCTTTCAGGGGGGAGATATCACCAAACATGATGGAACAGGAGGACAGTCTATCTATGGAGATAAATTTGAAGATGAAAATTTTGATGTGAAACATACTGGTCCTGGTTTATTATCAATGGCCAGTCGAGGCCGGGATACCAATAATTCTCAGTTTTTTATAACACTGAAAAAAGCAGAATGTTTGGACTTTAAGCATGTAGTATTTGGGTTTGTTAAAGATGGCATGGATACTGTGAAAAAGATTGAATCATTTGGCTCTCCTAAAGGGTCTGTTAGTCGAAGAATTAGTATCACAGAATGTGGACAGATATAAAATCATTGTTTTTCATAGTAAATTTTACCTTGTATAAACAGTTGAATTGAAGCTTAGCTGTTGTGACAATATGGTAATTATGTTCAGCTTTTGAAAATGGACGTTTCCAGTGTATAAATGTAAAATTGCAGCTTATAGCTGTTGTCACTTTTTAATGTGTTATAATTGACCTTGCATGGTATGAAATAAAAGTTTAAACACTGGTGTAAATCAGGTGTACTTGTGTTTATGTACTCCTGACATATCTGTATTAAAATGGAATAATACTAATCTTGTTAAAAGCAATAGACCTTCTCAAACTATTGAAGGAATATGATATATGCAATTTAATTTTACCTTTTAAGATATTGGACTTCCTGCATGGATAAACTTACCATTTGAATAAAGGGACCACAACTTGGATAATTTTTATTTTACATTTGAAATATATTTGGTAATTTTAACTATTGGTGTGCTCATTTATGCATAGAGACTCACTTATGAATGGGTAGAGCCACAGAGGGTAGAGACTTAACCAAAGTGCTCTTCTATAATCCTTGCACCTCCTGTATGGTTAAATTAACTTTTAAGTAGAGTACCTTCTTTTCTTAAAATGACATGTAGTTTCCTGTGCCCTTTCAAAGGTATTAAATTAATTTTTACATTTTAAACAAGTATTTCCTTAGTTTTTTTTTTTTTGTTTGTTTTTGTTTGAACTTTTCTGTCATCTGTTTCTACTACCTCAAACTGCAGCTTGGTTCTGATGGAACTTGAATTTTTCCTTGCAGTTATTGTGATAAAGTATGACTATTTTAAAAAGGTCTATACCATGTTCTTTGGTTAAAGATTTGCTTTATACTAGATTGTTGCAGTACCTTTTTCTGGTGAATTTTGTAGCAAAAATAAAGTGACAATTGTTAACAGCCATGACATTTAAAAATTTATTACTTGTGCATCTAGTTGTTTGTTCATTCTAGAGCCAAAGTAAGGAGGACAATTAAAGTTGTTCTGTAAATCAGACTGCCACATAATTTCCAAAGCTCCCAGAAAGTGACTTCTTTTCAAGTTTGATACATACACACTGAACATTTATTTGGAAATGACTAGTATCAAAAGTTAGGCAAACTGCTAAAAAGGCGGCAGAGTGGGGGAGAGAGGGGGAGATGTTCTCATCAGTCTATTCAGTACAACTACAAAGAATCTAGGGCACAAATTTTTGTGTATTCTCGTTACCAACAGTGACTGCCTTCTATCCTCCTGTGTTCTTCCCAGTGAAATCATCTCATTTTGTTTAGTAAAAGACAGTGGCGTCTATTCCGTTGTTTGGGGATTTGGAAATAGGTTATCATGTAATACCCGTTCAACCACCAGATAGGAGAGGGATGTCATGTGTGGGGTGTGTGAGTAATGAGTGTTGGAATACTATCACTAAATCCACTTGGCCACAAAGCCAGGTAACTGAAATAAGCCTATTGCAGTGTATCATTTGAAATTACCTGAACCTTACAGAGAGAACCATGGACTACATATATGCACATTTAATATTAAGAATTGGCTTCTTTGGAGACCTATGTAATATAAGTTGATATAAAGTGTGCTGTAGTTTTTCAGCTGGGACAGCTGATGCCTTTGTCATAATTTGAGAATAAACTTCCAAGTAAAGGCAAGTGTGCCTTAGATATTTTTTAGAGAAATCAGTTTACACTGTCTTCTATGCTGTCCTAAAGCATTAAAAAAAAAAGCTAATGCTTGGACCAAAAATTTGATTAAATGACATGTAAACTGTTTTCCAGTATTAGTATTCCAAAGATGCTTAAAAGATGGCTTGGGGCATTAGTGACAAAGACTTTGTGTCACATTTCAGGAAAGGACTTTGTGATTTCTCTTTGTTATTTAATTGCTAATGTAGTATAAATCCACAACGACATGTACTTTTTCCCCCCAACTGACTCCACTTTATATTGTCTAATTAGAAATCTGTTTAGAGTATAAAGAATTATTCGTACACTAATATTTGATGGCAAAGAATATTGCTATAATTTTCAGATAACTTTATTAAAATGATCTTCTAAAACTTTGGTATTTGAAGAATTTGAAAGATATTCCAGACAATCTAGGATTTATTAGTTCAGACATGCTGTTGAACATTCACAATTTAGAAAAGGAAAGGATTACACTAGTGTAATTGTCTAAATGAAAGAAATTAAGTGGTTATTCAGTTATTCCTTTCAATTAGTCTTGGTGTAATAGTGGATTTAGGTTGGTATACCATCCCAGTAAATACTGAGCAACTACAAATGCCTGGCCCTTTTCTAGGTATTGGGAAAAGCTATTAAAAAAAATACATGCTTTTACATTCATTACATTCGTACAGGGAACTTATAATACTGCTTTTTAATATACATACGGAACCCAGGCCAATGGCAGGGGAAGTGAGGGAGTAATCCTTTTCGAGAATACTGTGCTTTGCAGTACGATACATTCTTGATTTTTGCCTGTTTCTAGTTAGCAAAGACCATTCCGATTAAAGAGCACTGTATTTTCGTACGTCCAAACGCACCCTAAATACACGTAAGCTGTATTAGAGGTAAGAGGGGGTTGCCACCAGTCAGTTTGGACCATCCTGGTGACCATGTCGTCCGTGGACGTAGCGTGTGCGCATTCCCACTTGCAGGCGAGGCACACAGGTTACGGTGAAGGTGGTGGTTTCCCGTGAAGCGGTGGGGGTGCCTGAGGCTACGGCTGAGCGTCCTCCCGTGAGGGGCCACGCCTGCCAAGGTGTACCTGCTGTGGACGATTGTACTTTTCGGCGCCCTGGACACGACCGAGAAAAACAAGTAGCAAAAATTTTTTAAGACAAAGATAAAACGCCATTTATCAGTCCAAATAACACAGTAGTAAAGGAATTAGTCATTAAATCGTTCGGCAGGAAAAACGTTTGTAACACGAAGTTTTTAACAGTACAGAGAATGGGAGACTGAGGGACTCCCACCTTGGCGCGCTTCTCCCTCGCCTCCGCCTCTGGCTGCTCCCGGGCTCCACTTAAGTGGCCCCGCCCCCGCCTCCCGTTTAGGCTCGGCCTCCTAGCGCTTCGGCGTCGCTCTCGACCCCGAGGGGCGGGACGGGGCGTGCCGTGCGTCACGTCGCCGTTCCGTTGTGCGAGCTCCGCTCCTGCGCGCCCCGTCGCCGTGTGTTTGAAAGCTGTTCACAGGGTGACAACGGTGGCCTCGGCGCGCTATGGAGCCGAGGCTAGTGAAGCCGCCCGGGCAGGATTTGGTAGTGGAACGTCTCAAAAGCCGCTACGGACTAGGAGGTAGCCGCTTCGCCGAGGTGAGGCCTCGCCCTTCACCTCGACCCATCCCTGTGTCCGCGGGCGGGTTCCTGCAGGTGTGAAGCAGCCCGCCCGGCAGCTGCGCCCAAAGCCTCGGAGCCGGGGTGCGTAGGGCACTCGGGCGGGGAGCCACTCTCGGGGCCTCGAGCCGCTCGGCCGGCAACAGGGTTAGCTAAAGGTAGCCGGAGGAGCAGAAGTCATTTGTGGCCGCAGATGCTCCCTATGTGGGAAAAACAAATTTTCTATCAGAAAAATTCCTTCACCATAAACTCTTGAAGGTTTATGATGTATCAGACATGGTGGTATGGCACTTTAGTTTACAGTGACTTGTGTGGAATTCAAAAAGCAATTTTAATTCCTTTAAAAACCTTCCTATTTGGAAACAATTCCAAACTTAAAGTTGCAAGAATAATACAAAACTCTTGAATACTTCGTTTGGACTCACCAGTTAACATTTTGCCACATTTGCGTTACTATTATCTTCCTAGTTTTGACTTTCCATACACACATTGTCCCCCTGAACTATTGAGGGGTAACTTGCAGGCACTGTGATACTACCCCCAAATATAAATACTTTAGTGTATTTTCTAGGAATAAGCATATTCTCTTATATACCCCCAGTAATAAATTAAGGAGACTTACCATTTATACAATAATATGTAATGTATAGTTCGTTTTCAAATTTCACCAATTATCTCAATAATGTCCTTTGTAAAATTTTTTTTCCCGGTGCAGATACAATCTAAAAATGAGCATTGCATTTGGTTTTCGCTTCTGTTTTTTCTGGAACATGTTCTTAAGTCTTTGCCTTCTATAATGTTGATATTTTTGAAGACTAAAGGAACAGCTGAGTTTCTCTGGTGAATACACCTCATGATTAGATAGATACTGGTTTTTTGCATTTTTGGCAGGAGTGATGTATGTGTTGCTCCTGTTCGTTAGAGGAGACCTGTGATTTTGCTTTGTCCCATTATTGGTGATACTAACTTTTGACTACTTGGTTAAGGTAGTGTCTGTCAGATTTGTCCACTCTAACCTTTGTAATTATCCCTTGTACTTAGTACATAATTTGTGGGGAACTCTTTTGAGACTAGGTTGATTATTAATATATAAATTAAATATGTCTTTTTTTTTAAGTATGATTTTTCAAGTTTTGATCAGGCTAAATGGAAGAGAAGATTGCTAACCTCCCCAGGTAAGCTGATGGAGTATTTTGTATATTTGGGGGTTTTAACAAATTTGATTTGAGAAAAAACATTTTAAAAAAATGTTAGGCTTAAGACTAAGTGCATATATCTTGTGATACTAAGCTTTTTTCATTCGGGTAATGAACTAATAGTAATCAAGATTTGGGGGGCGGTAAATGTGTAAGATGTCTTTAAAATCAGATTGAATTTTTTGGTGTTTCAGTTACAGCATTTTTGCCTTTAAAAATGTTAAAAATTAAACAGTACATTAGGTAAAGAAAACTGCTATTTTTTTAAGGCATAAACTTTTCCAAGTTACAGGGGTAATAATTGTTGCACTGGAAGAATTTACCAAATGTACTTGATAAAGATAATTATATTGTGAGATTGGGTGGGTTGGAACATTATGTGGTAATCTGGAACTAACATATATAGCTAATTAACCATTAGTCTTTTGATTTGTTGGTACTTCTTTAGTGATGTTTTTACTAGTAAGTATACTCATCGAATTTTGGGGTGACAGCAGAAACCGTATCTTTAAAAGTTTATGAGATGGTAGATTAGAGAATTTCATTTCTTTTCCAAGTTTATTTCATTTTGAAATTTTGTAAACACTCTTCCGAAACATTCCTTCAGTATGAAAAAAAACCCAGTTATTAGTCTGGTATCTTAAAAATATCTTAAAATTATATTTTAGTTTTGAAATTTGCCCTAAAATTTCCAACTTTTTAAAATATAACTAAAAAGTATAGCTCATTTAATTTCTGATGGGGTAAAAATGCGGATTAGACAAAGGTTTCATTTCAACGACATGGATGGAACTATAGGGTATTATGCTAAGCGAAATAAGCCAGTCAAAGACAAAATACCATATGATTTCACTCATATGTGGAATTTAAGAAACAAAACAGATGAACATAGGAGAAAGAAAGGAAAAATAAAATAAGATGAAATCAGAGAGGGAGACAAACCAGAGACTCTTAGCACTGGGGAACAAACTGAGGGTTGCTGGAGGGGAGGTGAGTGGGGGGAAGGTATAATTTGGTGATGGGCATTAAGGAGGGCACTTGATGTAATGAGCACTGAGTGTTACATGCAACTGATGAATCACTAAATTCTACCTCTGAAACTAATTTTTAAAAAATCAGATAATTCCAAAAAAGTTTTAAAAAATATTTCTAAATTTCTTATCAGAGAAGCTCTCTGCCTTTTATTCAATTTAGATATAGGCTAATAGTCTGTTAAATGTTTAGTGTTTAGGGTCGCCTGGGTGTTGCATTCAGTTTAGTGTCGGTTCAGGTCGGGATCTCAGGGTTGTGAGATCAAGCCCTGTGTTGGGCTCCCATGCTTAGTGCAGAGTCTGCTTGAGATTCTCTCTCCCTTTCTGTCTGCCCCTCCCATTTGTGCTCTCTCTATCTAATAAAAAAAATGTTTAGTGTTTAAAATTATAAAATAAATGCGGACTGATGAAATATAATGATTAGGTAGGAATAAGCCTGGATTCTGAATTTTAATCTTTCCATTTGCTGGTTCTGTTACTTGGATAACTTCATATAACTTCTCTGGTCCTTAGACTTCACATCATTAGAATAGGGTTAAAGGCACCTATTCTGCTTACTTCATAGTAAGCTAGTTGTTGCTAAGATCAAATAAGGTAATAAATGAAAGAGCATTTTGAAATCAGTAAAGTGCTATGTAAATACAAGATTTGATGCCTGTTTTTGAAGTTTGCATTACAGAGATCATTAGGTAATTTTGCTACCTTACCTTTAGAAGCCTAGAATGAAATTAGTATCTGATTTTAGTAATCACTGCTATTTTCTTTTTTGTTAACAGATGATTTGGATATCTTCTCATCTGGAGATAAAGTGGGTTCATCATTAAGATGTTATTCTGATGAAAGAAAGCATTGCACAACACCACTTTGTAGTTCATTCAAACACTTAAATGTGAATTGGTAAAGTACCTTGAATCCTTAGTATTGCTCTCCCTTGGGTATCTACAAAAACTGAGATTAAAGGGTGGATTGTTTATGTCTGCTTTTTTCTGAGACGAAGTACAAGCAGTCTGGAGCCTGCTGAATGGTTGAAGAGACTGATTTATTAATTTTTACTGAGACTCTCTGTGATAAAAGCATAAACCTAGCATTATGTTTGGTCATATAATGGAAAGTTATTTTCACGGTATGAAAGATGAACAGTTATTTTTATGGTTATTCATCCAGAACCCAAATGAAGACCCTGCTCGCCCCCCCTTTTTTTTAAGGAGCTAGGATACAAATGAATGCAGGTTTGTTAGACAGTGATATTTAACTCAGTATGCATTGTGTGTCTCCAAGTGTGGTAAGCTATATTTTAGGTAGAGAGAGAGAGATTGAAGAAATCAGTCTAGGGAGATGCTAACTACAAATGTGCAGAATGCTGGGCTGTGAGTGGGTGAAACCAATATAAAAACAGTGGAAGCTAAGGTGAAATAAAGTTCTGAATTAGATACAATTAAATGCCATAAATATGTGGCAGAAGGAGGTGCTATGGGTATCAAGAAGGGTAAACGTTTTGAAATAATGTTAAACCATAAAGATGTATACATATACAAAATGAAATGTTGAGATAATCATGGGGAGAAGAAAAGAAAACTGTGCCAAAAATATATGTAAATTATTAATGTAATTGATATTTGGGAGCTTGAATTTTTTATATAATTGCTTCATTTTCTACTTAAATGATTTAATTCATGTAAAGCACTTAGAACAGTGCTTAATACATAGAAAAGCATTCAAATGTGCTATTATCATTGTTATACTATTTCATTTGGCATTCACAAAGTAGCTTTGTTGATATGGATTTAAGATTTGGACATGAGGTAGATTGAATATTGAGTAAGGAAAGTAAAAGTTGTTTTGAGATAATTATGAATTTCTGGAAATTATTTTCTTATATTTAACTAATAGTTTTGTCATTTTTTGTCATAAATGATCGGGGTATAATTTCAAGTTATAACTTGAAGCTTTTGAACTATGAAAGTTTTTGTAACATTAGGCAGTTTTTTTCATAATCTCTAGGTAATGATCTAATCTGGGATTATAGTGCTGTCCAGCATAGTAGCCACAGGGCACAGGAGGCTATTGAGTACGTGAAATATAAGTAAGAAATAATATGCTGGATTTCAAAGATGGATAAAAGAATGCAAAATATCTTAATAATTTTTTAATACTGATTATATATTAAAATAATCTTTTAGATATACTGGGTTAAATATTGTTAAAATATTTAACATTGTTAAAATTTTGTGTCTTTATGTTTTTAATACAGCTACTAAAGAATTTTAAATTGCCTTATGTGACTTGAATTATATTCCTTTGAGCAGCACTGCTCTAGAAATTTCAACTTTGAGATCATCTTTTTGGAGAGAACACCTGAGATTCTAGTTCTGCTTTACCTTTTACTAGTTAATGTCATGTGTCAGTTATTTAAATTCTTTAGGTTTCACTTTCTTCCTGTTAAATGTTAGTTCTTTTAGCTAAAATTATAGCTAACAGGACCTGTTATATCTATCTCACAGAAGTATTAGGAATCAAAAGAAAGAGTTTGGCAGTTGTAGAGCATTCTACAGGTATATGTCATTTTAAATTAAGACCATTGGATTATGTAGAAAGGTACCTGTGGTGACTTTTTAGGATCAGTGACTTACTTTTCACATTTTGTTTTCCATTTTCAAAAATGTTTACTTGTTAAATTTTTTTCAATTGTTATGCTGTTAATATTTGAAAAGCAGTTTTATCTTTTTAAAATGCTATAGAAAACTTCCAGAATGCTGTGATAGGTTTTTTTTTTTTTTTTTTAAAGCCTAGATGATGAACTGGATTCTTTTCAAGATTTGAAGCAACAAGAAAAAACAGAAGAGTTAATTGAGAATGATCATAGAATTAGTACCTCCAAAATAACCAAACAGTCTTTTAAAGACATAGAAAAAGGTAAAAGAGAATCATTTTAGAATAGTTACTTAAAAAGATGCTTTGTCTCAGGGCATCTGGCTGGCTCAGTAGGTAGAGCACATGACTCTTGATCTCAGGGTTATAAGTTTGAGCCCCACATTGGGTGTAGAGATTACTTAAAAATAAAATCTTTTTTTTTTTAAGTAGCTTTGTCAAGTAGAGCACATAGAGCTTATCCTATAGTAATAACACTGGCCCTCAGGTGTCTGTGTATTTCTGTGTTCTGCATTTTTGTAAGCCATGAGAGAGTAACTGTGCTTATTATTGACTAAAGGAGAAGAGAAAAATAGACTTCATTATTTTCCAGTAGTATTCCTGTGCTCTCAAAAATTATCAAAATAAGTTAGTAATCAATTGAATACTTTTTATAATTTCTTCATATTTTTTCATATCAGTATTTGTTTAGCAAGTCACTAAATACTGTGGTAGATTTGAGTAATCCTTTAATATTTTAAGACAGTACTCCAGATTACTTAAGGTATAGCTTCTTCAGGCACTTCTTTAATAACTTTCTGTGCATGTGGCTGCATGTCATAGTTTTGTCAGCATTTCAAGAAAAGAGGCAACCAGAAATGGCTTCCTCTTGGCTGCAAGACTTTGAGAACAGTGTTGCCCCTTTGATAGCCTTTGTGCATCTCTTCTGGGCATACATTGTTTACACACAACACATGCTCATTTCTCACTTCCCACTCTCCTTCATCCTTTTCCTAGTCATCTCAGCATTTGAGGAAAGTGAAAAGAAATTCTTCCTGGACTTGTGTTTCTGGCTACATGGTGGATTTTCCCACTGAAAAACAATCGAAAATACAGGGTAATATAAAAAAAAAAAAAGGTTGAATGTATTAAGAGTTGACATAATTAAGGAATATTTAAGCTACAGATTGTGAGATGGGAACCTAGAGAGGCAAGCAAAGCAGTGAAAGTGTCTTTCACTTTAGTGGCACCTGGGTGGCTCAGTCCATTGGGCATCTGACTTTTAATTTTAGCTAGGGTTGTGATCTCAGGGTCCTGGGATTAAGCCCAGTATACGGCTCTGTGCTCCACTGGAGTCACCTGGGATTCTTTCTCCCTCTCCCTCTGCCCCTCCTCCCCCTCCTGCATGCAATAAATTAAATAAAGAAATAAAGAAATAAAATCTTCTGAAAAATGAAACTGTCTTTCACTTTAAGGGGATTTGCTGAACTGAATGAAGTGAAACTTTTTTTTTTTTTTTTAAGATTTATTCGTTTATTAGAGAGTGTGCCCACTTGCATGCACATTTGGGGAAGGGGGAACAGAGGGAGAGGGAGAAAGAATCCCAAGCTGACTCCCTGTGGAGTGCGGAGCCGCACATGGGGCTTGATCTCACTACTCTGAGATCATGATCTATGCTGAAATCAAGAGTTGTTGCTTAACAGACTAAGCCACCCAGGCGCCCTAAAACTTTTTTCTTTGTTAAAAATTCGTGTTATTTTTTATTTTGGCTCCCTAAGGTCTGTCCAAGATGGGGAATACAATAGGAGACCCTTTTCTTAAAGCTAGGGTTCCCAGGAAGGTTAACGCAAGTTAAAACCACTTTCAGTACCAACAGAAAATAAATTCTGGTAATACAGTGTTGGCAAAGAAGTGAAGCAAGAGGAACTTGCTCATCCATTGCTTTTGGGAGAGTAAATTAATATAACTACTTGGGCAAGCAGTTTGATACCACTGGCACAGTTGAACCTGCACATGTCCCTTATGATCTAGCAATGTTGCTGTTAGTCATATACCCTGGAGAAATTTTTGAACATGTGTACCAGCAGCCACATGCAAGACTGTGGAGCACCTATGTAGACAAAGAGCTCAAATACCCACCTGTAGTAGAATGTTGGCTTTTAAAAATATAAAATAGGATAAAGTAGTGAAGATTTGTGAACCCGATTCTGTCATTAATACAAGAACATATTTAAAGGAGGTTATAGCAATTACATAATTACATCATTATGTAAATTACAGACATTATAGAAGGTTTAAAACCAGGCAAAACGAGGTCTTAAATTTTTTTTTTTACCCAGATACTAAAAACTTTAAAAAAATAAAGCAATGATTAATGCTATATTTGGGTTAGTGGTTAATTTGGTTTAGAGGAGAGAAGGGAATCTAATCGAGTTTCTGAGGTAACTTTACATTTATTTCTTGGTTTAAGCAGTTAATACATGAGTATTTTCATGCACTTTTAAATACATTTTGAGGAGCACCTGGGTCGCTCAGTTGTTAAGCGTCTGCCTTCGGCTCAGGTCGTGATCCCAGGGTCCTGGGATCGAGCCTCGCATTGGGCTTCCTGCTCAGCGGGAAGCCTGCTTGTCCCTCTCCTACTCCCCCTGCTTGTGTTCCCTCTCTCACTGTCTCTCTGTCAAATAAATAAAAATAAAAATCTTTAAAATCCATTTTGAAATAATTTCAGACTTACAGAAGAACTGCCATAAGAGCATAGAGAATTTCTGTAAGGCCTTCACACAGATTTTCTAAATTTTAACATTTTACCACATTTGCTATGTAATTGTTTCTGCATATAATACTGATGCCTTTTTAAAATTTTTTTTATTTAAATTCAATTTAGTTAACATATAGTGTATTACTGGTTTCAGGGGTAGAATTTAGTGATTCATTGGTTGCCTGTAACACCCAGTGCTCATTACATCAAGTGCCCTCCTTAATGCTCATCATTCAGTTATCCCTTTCCCTCACCCACATCCCCTCCAGCAACCCTCAGTTTGTTACCTAGAGTTAAGAGTCTCTTATGGTTTGCCTCCCTCTGTTTTTATCTTATTTTATTTTTCCTTTCCTTCCCATATGTTCATCTGTTTTGTTTCTTAAATTCCACATATGAGTGAAATCATACGGTATTTGTTTTTGACTGGCTTATTTCACTTAGCATAATACCCTATAGTTCCATCCATGTCATTGCAAATGGCAAGATTTCATTCTTTTTGATGGCTGAGTAATATTCCACTGTATTTATATACCACATCTTCTTTATCCACTCATCTGTAGATGGACATCTGGGCTCTTTCCACATTTTGGCTATTGTGGACATTGCTCCTGTAAACATTGAGGTATATGTGTCCCTTTGAATCACTATTTTTGTGTCCTTTGGATAAATACCTAGTAGGGCAGTTGCTGGATCATAGGGTAATTCTATTTTTAACTTTTTGAGGAACCTCCGTACTGTTTTTAATACTGGAGACTTTTAACAATACTTTTAATTCATATTTAAAGTAACTTCCTGAAGAGTACTCTGTCTGAGAATACTTAAAACTGTAATAATTTGTAATTAAATTTCTTTTGTAGCAGTTGCCCAGCCAACTAATGTGACATCAAATTTAAGAAATTGGACTGAATGTTGTAGTAATGCAAGTGACTCCCCTCTGAGACGTATCAGCTGTTCGACATCTAAAGCACCAAACAAGCAGAGAATACTTCCACATCAGATTAATCAGATCTATGATGAATTGTTTCAAATACATCAGAAACTGCGGGTAAGAACTAAAAACTGAATTGAGAATTCAGATATATTTATGTTCTAAGCACCAAACATATAAAATTTGAATACAGAGTATTTCATTTTAATTATTTTAGCTAAGCATGTCGAGATAAAGTCAAAAGGGAACAAACACAAATTTATTACAGTTATTGAAGGGAAAAATTTATAGCTGATGGAAAAAATAAATGGTATTTTTAGGTACAGGCGTATTTCTTAGATTTCAGACTGTTTTGTGTTTTGTGTTTATTTCTATCCCATCCTTGCTTAAGAAATAAAACAATCTGCTGGTAAAGTGTACTTTTTTTTTTTAAGTTTGTTTTTTTTAGTAATCTCTACGCCCAACGTGGGGCTCAAACTCACAACCCTGAGTCACATTCTCCTCCAGCTGAGCCAGCCAAGTGCCATTAAATTGTGCTTTTTGAAGTAGTGTTCCTGATTCATTGTTTTAAATAGGTATACGTAAGACATTCTCTTGTCAATTATCACCAAAGTTTGATTCAGAACATTGGTCTTTATCTTTGGGATTTTTTTGTTTCTAAAGGATGTACTTCATGTATTTATCAAGTGTCCACTAGGTGGGAGTACAGAAGGGAGCAAAGGTATGTGTAATACCCAGTTCCAGACCAAAATTGTTCTAGTTGGAATTCTGCTCTATTTGTATACTAGGAAATAAACATTTTTTAAAAACCAGTATCTTAAAAAAACCTCCAATATCTCATTTTGTCTGAATACTTCAGATTATAGTTACCATAGCATTTCAGAAAAAGATTATTTTGGCCGAAAATCACTGGAGAACAGTTCAGGAAGAGACATAACTTGGTACTTGACTGGGGTAAAATTTAAAGAGGAGTGGAAGGGCATTCCAGGTGGCAAGAGTTGGGGGTGGGAGGTCTTTGGAAAGGAGTGATTTGTCAGACTGAACTTAACCAGCCTGGGGAAAGAACACTCAGGCTGGCTACTACAGGTTTTTAAGCAAATGAGTGACAAAGTAATAGTGCATTGGGAAGATTTCTTTGCTAATACTTTATGAGATAAAAAAGAATAAGCAAAGTTGTAAAGATACATCATTTACTGCAAACACAATAAGGACAAATATTTTTTTGAAAATGAAGTGCAGTGGATTAATCTTGTTTAATCTGTAGTCAAATCTAACTTAAAAAAATTTTTTTTAGTCTTCTATTGTGTTGGTCATCATTAAGTATATACATTTTGTCAAATTTTGCAATTTCATTCAGCATATGTTTGAACACTTGTTAATATGCCTTTGCATGCTTAGTGTTGAATATATAGAAGTAGATAAAATATATATGGTTCTTGCCACACATAGCTTATTAGAATCAATTGTGAGTACCCATATAGTTACAATTTTATAAATTTAAGTGAATAATTCAGGTATAATATGAAACCTGATTAGGATAGATTGGTAAGGTTTTCTGAGAAAGTATCATTTAACTTATACCCTGGAGGAAGAGTAGGGGATTAGCCCTACTAGACTGTGATGGTCTAGTTAGAGAAGCCCCAGAAGCATGATGATATATTCATTCAAGGAAAATGTAGTAAGTAAATGAGGATTTTTAGAGCAGGGGAGTTGCTTAATCTAATGTATGCCTTTTTTTTTTAAGATTTTATTTATTTATTTGTTTATTTATTTATTTGACAGAGAGACAGCAAGAGCAAGAACACAAGCAGAGGGGGAGTGGGAGAGGGAAAAGCAGGCTTCCCGTGGAGCAGGGAGCCTGATGTGGGGCTCAATCCCAGGACCCTGGGATCATGACTGAGCCGAAGGCAGACTGAGCCACCCAGTTTAATGACTGAGCCATCCAGGTGCCCCAGTCTGATGTATGCTTAAATCAGTGGGTTGGAGGGGCAAAGGTGTGGAAGTTGGGAGACCGGGTAGGATATCCTACTGTAATAGTGCAGGTGAGAGGTGATGGTAACTTGGACTGGGTGGTGGCAGAGAAGTGGAATTGAATAGATTTGAGATTGCTTTTGGAGGTAAAATGGGCTAGACTTGGTGTGATGAGTTGGATGTGGTATAAGGAGAATAGGTGTCTAGGATAATTTCCACATTTCTGGTTTGTACAACTTGGAAGAATGAATATAGGGGAGAAAGATCAAGATTTTAGTTTGGAATGGATTAGGTTTGAGACTTTAATGGAGACCTAATGTAAGTAAATGTATCAGCTTGGCATTTAGAACATATGTCTTGGATGGGCATCTAAATTGGGAGTCATTTACATATAGATATTTAAAGCTGTCACCAGTAGGTGAGATCTAGAAAGAGGGCAGAGTGTGAAGAGATGTGGTGTCCTGATGGTGTCTTGGGTTAGGACAAGGGCCTTAGGGATGAAGAGAAGTGGATGGATTCTAAACATTTTTAAGAGATGGATCCAGTAGGTCTTGGAGATTGTTTTGATGTGGGAGGTGTGCAGTAGGGTTTTACTCAAAGATGAAATGCAGGTTTATTCTTTTGGCTGTTGGATAAATGATTCTACTTTTTGCTGAGATAGGGAACAAAACTGGAGGGAGAGAAGATTGTTTTTTTGCAATTTATAACTTTAATTTTTGTGTAGGAGATAATTCCTTTATCATGAATTATTATCTTTTCATTTGCAGTATTTTTCTAGGTAACACTGTTTTGGTTTTTAAAAGTTTATGAAATATTTATGACATACGGAGAAACATAGGTAATATAATATCAACTATATACCCATTGCCAATATTTTGTAATGCTAACATTTTATTAATAATTCTGTTTGATATTTTTAAAGGAAATAAAATGTTTCAATTAGAGTTGAAACAGCCTTTCTCCATCCCATAACCTCTTCCTTTTCCCAAGGATTCAGCACTCCCTTGAAATTAGTGTGGATCCATTATGTCCTGTTTTAACACTTTTATATGTTCATATATACGTATTGTTTTGAATGTTTTAAAATGTTACATAAGTAATGACATACTGTGAATTGCTTTTTGCAACTTCCTTGCTTCATTCTTTGTTATATTTTTGAGATTTATGTGTTTGGAAAATGTAGTTCTAGTTCATTCATTTTTACTGCCATGTAGCATTCTAACCTCTAAATAAACCACCATTTCTTTCTTTTTTTTTGGATTTTATTTATTTATTTGAGAGAGAGAGAGTGCATGACAGGGGTGGGAGGGCAGAGCGGGAGGGAGAAGCATTCTCCCTCAGCAGGGAGCCTGATACAGGGCTTGATCCCAGGACCCTGGTATCATGACTTGAGCTGAAAGCAGACTCTTAACTGACTGAGCCACCCAGGCATCCTTATTTATTTATTTCTATATAAATATACAAGATGGAGTTTATATTTTACAAACAGTTCTGTTTGAGGGTCCTTAAAACCTATAAGAAGTAGTAGTAGCAGGTTGCTGCCAAATTATTGTCCAGAGTTACTGTGCCTATTTACGTTCCCATCAGCAACATCCTGGAGTTGTCTTTCCCCCATAATATAATAGCTATCTCACTGATGCTGTAGTTTGCATTTTTTGCCTTTGAATGTTAAATCCATTAAGATGATTTTGAGTTTAGACAGTAATGATAAGACCATATTTTTAAGCGAACCAGGATAGTAATCTATAGGTGCATACCCAAGACTTTGAGCAAACAGACCAGTTTCTTTTATATCAAATCTGAATGTTGAAAGTATATGAGATGACAACCCTGTGTCCAGGAGTTAAGTTTCAATTCTCTAGAATTCTAGGGTTCTTTGTTAAACAATATAAGCATGATAGTAGAACTTTCTGGCTTTCATTATATATGCTGAGATAAGAGAATTCCAGCAAGTTTTTGTTAACAGTTGACCAGTGGCAGGGAATCTGTTAATGATTGCATTAGAATTCATTTCTTTCAAGGCTATGTATATCTGCCTCAGGAACTGCTGGCACTGAGACCGGTGAAGGCAGGTGTCTTGCTGCTTTTTCAGAGTAGAGGTTTGGTCCCATACAGAAAGCTTCCACATTCAGAAATGATGGTCAGAAGAAAGGTCTACTGAGTCTTTTCTTTTTTTTTAGGTTTTTATTTTAATTCCAGTTAGTTAACATCGTGTTATATTAGTTTCAGGTGTACAATATAGTGATTCAACACTTCCATACATCTTGAACCATCTCCAAAAAAGGGAAGTGCAGGATCAAGGCTCTGGCAGATTCATTGTCTATTGGGAGCCCACTTTCTGGTTCATAGACAGCCATCTTTTTGCTGTGTCCTCAATGTTGGAAGGGCCTCTTTTTAATTTTTTTAAAGCGTACAATTATTTTTAGAATATTTGAAGAGTTATGCTACCATCATCACAGCCAATTTTAGAGTATTTTCATTATCCCAATAAGAAACCCCTACTCATTAGATATCTCTCCTCATTAACCTCCCACCCGACCTATCTCCCCTCAGCCCTAGGCAACTATCAGTCTATTTTCTGGCTATAGATTAGCTTATTCTGGACTTTTCATATAAATGGAATCATATGTAGTGTGTGTGAAGTGTCTGGCTTCTCTCACTTAGCATGATATTTTCAAGGTTCATCCATGTTGCAGCATGTATCAGAATTTTATTCCTTTTTATAACTGAATACTCCATTATATAGATATACCACATTTTCCTTTTTTCCATCAGTTGATGGACATGTGGGTTTCCACTTTTTGGCTATTATGACTAATGCTGCTATGAACACTCATGTTTAATTTTGTTTGGATATATACTTTCATTTCTTTTTGGTGTATATGAAGGAGTGGAATTGCTGGGTCATATGGTAGCTCTTTGTTTAACTTTGAGAAATTTTTAAGACCGTTTTCCAATATGACTGCACCATTTTACATTCCCACCGATAGTGTACAAGGGTTCCAGTTCCTTCACATCACTGACAACATTTGTTGTCTGTCTTTTTGATTCTTGCCATCCTAGTGGGTGTGAAGTGATACCTCATTGTGGTTTTGACTTGCATGTCCCTGATGGCTAGTTGAATTCAGTTTGGACATGTTTATTTTGTGCTAGCTGAAAGCATACAGGTGAGGATATTCAGTAGGAAGTTTGGACTTGAGTTTGGAGCTTAGGAGAAAGAGCTGAGCAATTGTAGGTTGGGAGGAGTTAGCATATATATGGTAATTTAGCCGTTGAGTGGAGGGAAGTGATTTAAGCCGAAATCCTGAGGAACGTTAGTAGTTAAATGACAGTAAAGGAAGCAGAGCTCGCAAAGGATGCTGAGAAGCTGTGGCCAGAGAGTGAGGTGGAAAACCAAGAGAATGTGGTGTCATGGAGTCCAATGAAAGATTATTTTAAGTTGGAAGAAAGGGCCTATCGTATAAAATGCTGTTGAGAGACTCAATAAAATTAGGACTGAAAGTGACCTTCACATGTAGTAGGGGAATGCTGGCGGAGGCCAGATAGAAGTAAATTGAGGAGTGATTGGGAAATAAAGAGGGCTCAGCAGATGTAGACAAAGTGTTAAAGAATTTTGTGAAAGGGAGGCACTTAGTGGGTGTGGTCAAGAGCAACTCCATTTCAGATGAGATTGGAGATTTTAAAAATATTAGAGGGATTTCAGCACAGCAGTGTCCAAAGAAGGCAGAAGGCAATGAGATCCTGAGTCTGCCTTTGTAATGGGAGGGAAGGAGAGACCTCTGTGTCTTGAGGGCAGGAGGTTGGTGTTTCCTTCTGCTGTCTTCTATTTTTCCTGTGAAGTTAGAGACGAGGCTGTCTGCACAGAATCATGTAGGAGGTGAGGTGTTCAAAATAAAGAATGGAGAAGGTTTGAAATATAGGCACTGTGGAGAGTAGGAGACAGAACCAACCATGAAAATAAAAAACACTTTCTGGACTGCATTGAGAATCTGGTAGAGGTTCCCTGAATTTACAATAGTACAACTTTTTCTGGTGTGTGTTTTCTCCATTGGTATCGAGCAGTGTGGCATTGGGGTTAGTGCTAATAATGCAGGGCTAGGGTCTTTTAGCCCAAGTGAAGGACAAGAAGGGTGGGGGGGAGAGTATAGGGAAAAGAACAGATGGTGAAGTTGAAGTGGAGCATGGAATTGAAGCTGGATAGGGGATTATTCCATATAGTAGAGATGCATTTTGGACCCCAAATTCTCTAGAGTCCTTGTAGTGGAATCTCACTATGGTGTCATGTCATTTTGCAACAAGATAGAATTTCTGTGCAAGCTTACTTGCTGTGGTAGTCTAGCTGTTACTGTAATCCAGGTTTTACTTATACACATGTAGTCCTAAACACCATTTGATTAAGCTACAACTTCAGTAAATAAAACGTAATTTGTAGAATTTGTGAATGTACTTTCTAAAAACACTTGAATCTGACATTTTAATACAGTGTGAAACTGCGGCACAACAGGAGTTTGCTGAAGAACTTCAAAAGCGGGAACGTTTTTTAGTTGAAAGAGAACAACTACTTTTCAGACATGAAACTGCTTTGAGTAAAATTAAAGGTGTCGAAGAAGAGGTTCTTACAAGATTTCAGATTATAAAGGAGGTAACTATATAGCTTTTGATTTCAGAGTAATGTGATTTCTGTTTTTCTTAATTTAGATTCACTAGTTATTAGCATTTTGCCACACTTGCTTCATTTCTTCTCTTCTCCCCCTTCCCCCCACATAGTTTTACCTGGACCATTTGAAACTAACTTGGCAAAAATCATGACTCAGCACCCCTAAATACTTCTTTAGTATTATCAATGCTTAAGTTTAGGACTTTGTGTCTCCTAAGCATAAGGATATTTGCCACATCATTATCATATTAGGAAATTAATGCTAATTGAATAATTTATACTTTCATTCACTTTCTGCATTCACTTTCCCAATTGGGTCTTAAGATTTTTTTTTTTTAGATTTTATTTATTTGAGAGAGAGAAAGTGTGTGTGCAAGTGTGAGTGGGAGGGGGAGAGGCAGAGACTCTCAAGCTGACTCCCCGCTGAGCATGGAGCCCACTGTAGCAATTGAGCTGAAACTGAGAGTCAGATTCTTAATCGACTGAGCCACCCAGGTGCCCCATTGTCCTGAAATCTTTTATTGCTTGTTTTATTTTCTGATCAAGTAACTAGATAGAGTTCATGCATTGTACTTGATTTTTATATCTTTTTGGTTTCTTTGAATCTAGTGCAGTCAACCATTTTTTGTGAGACTTTTCTTTGAAGATTCCAGGCCAGCAGTTTTATGGAGTATGTCATATTCTGGATTTGCCTGATTGTTTCCTAAGGATTTTTTCAGGTTGAATATTTTTATCAAGGACATTATCTAGGTGGTAGGGTATACTTTGTTTCATATCAACAGATACATTACTATATGTGTAACTTACATAGAGTAAATTTCATTGTTTTGAAAAATGCATGTAGTCTTATAATCACCACCATAATCCCAATAAAGAACAATTTTAGCACCCCAAAAGTTACCTTATACTCTTTTGTAGTTATCCCTCCTTGCCCCTAGTACCCCCGCCCCCTGCTAGTAACCACTAACCTATTTTCTGTCCCTGTACTTCTGCCTTTTCCCAGAATGTCATGTAAATAGAATCATGATTTTTTTTTTGTCTGTGATTTTCAGTAGCCATTTAATTATGAGGTATCTCCACATGCTTTGCTTTGAGTTTATCCTGTTTGGGGTTCACTGAACATCTTGGCTTTGTAAAATAATGTCTTTCACCAAATTTGGGAAGTTTTCAACTAATATTTCTTCACTTATTTTTTATGTTTCAGTGCTTTCTCCTCCTCCTGTGTCTCCAGTGATTCATATGTTAGGTCTTTTGCTGTTATACCACAGACTGCTGAGGCTTTGCTCCTTTTTCCTCATCTGTTTCTTCTGTGTTCTTCAGATCTGATAATGTCTATTATCTACCATTACATTCATTGTTTCTTCTTTCATTTCCATGTTGCTACTGGGATCATCTAGTGAATTTTTTATTTCTCATATTTTAATGTTCTAAAATTGCTAATTATATTCTTTTAAAAATTATGTTTAATTTTCCTTATGAGAATTTTATCTTTCCATTTGCATTCATTTGTATTTACCTCAGGGAACATACGTAAAAATTCAGCATCTGGATCATGTAAGGATTGGCATTTCTCTTGAGACTTAGTCACATTTTTCTGGTTCTTTGTATATTCAGTGACTTTTGGATTGTATTTGGGACCTTTTGGATATTGTACAGATTCTGGATCTGGTTATAATCCTCTGGAGACTATTTTTTTAAGTAGTCAGCCCAGTTGAGTTGTTTACTTATAAATTATAGTTGACATACATTATGTTAGTTTCAGATGTACAACATAGTGATTTGACATTTATATGCATTATGAAATGCTCACCATGTTAAACTAGTTACCATCTGTCACTGTATAATGCTATTACCATATTATTGACTATATTCTCTGTGCTATACTTTACATCCCTGACTTATTTTTTAACTTGAAATTTGTACCTTTTGACCACCTTTACCCGTTCTGCCCGCCACCACCCACCTCCCTCCCATGGTGGCAGCCACACCAGTTCTTTCTTTTATGAGTCTGTTTCTGTTTTGTTTGTTCATTTTTGTTTTTAGATTTCCCGTAAAAGTGAAGTCAGCAGTGATTGTCTTTCTCTGACTTATTTCACTTAGCATAATACCCTCAATGTTCCTTCATGTTGTCACAAATGGCAAAATTTCATTCTCTTTTATGTCTGAGTAATATTTCACTGTGTTTGTACCACATCTTTATCCATTTACCTATCAGTGGACACCTAGGTTTCCTCCATATCTTGGGTGTTGTAAATAATGCTACAGTGAACATAGGTGTGCATATATCTTTTGGAATTTGTGTTTTCATTTTCTTTAGGTAAATACCCAGAAGTGGAATTGCAGGATCATATGGTAGTTCTATTTTTAATTTTTTGAGAAACCTCCATGTGTTTTCCAGAGTGGCTGCACCAATTTATATTCCCACCAACAGTGCATGAGGTTTCCCTTTCTCCACATCCTTGCCAACACTTGTTATTTCTTGTGTTTTTGTTACAAGCCATTCTGACTGTTGTAAAGTGATAGCTCGTGGTTTTGATTTGCATTTCCCTGATGATTAGTGAATTTGAGCAATTTTTCATGTACCTTTTGGCCATCCATATATCTTCCTTGAAAAAATATCTCTTCAGGTCCACTTCCCATTTTTTAATTGGATTGTTTATTTTGTTGTTGAGTTGTATGAGTTCTTTATATATTTTGAATATTAACTGGTATCCAAATATATTTTGGATATATCATTTGCAAATATTTTCTCCTATTCAGTAGGCTGCTCTTTTGCTTTATTGATGGTTTCCTTCACTGTGCAAAAACTTTTTAGTTTGATGTAGATCGAATTGTGGTTTTTTACTCCAATTGTTTATTTTTGGTTTTGTTGTCCTTCCTGAAGAGACAGTCCAAAAATATATTTCTAAGACTGATGTCCAGGAGTTTCTTACCATTGTTTTATTTTAGGAGTTTTATGGTTTCAGGTCTTACATTTAGGTCTTTAATTCATTCTGAGTTTATTTTCGTATATAGTATGAGAAAGTGGTCCAGTTTCTTTAGTATGTAGCTGTTCAGTTTTTTCAGCACCATTTATTAAAGAGACTGTCTTTTCCCCATTGTATATTGTTTCCCCCTTTGTAGTAGATTACTTTACCATATAAGCATGAGTTTATTTCTGGGCTCTCTGTTCTGTTGATCTCCACGTCAGTTTTTGTGCCAGCACTATACTGTTTTGATAACTATAGCTTTGTGGTTAAGTTGGAAATCTGGGAGTATGATACCTCCAGGTTTGTTCTTCTTTCTCAAGGTTGCTTTGGCTATTTGGGGTCTTTTGTGGTTCAAACAAATTTTAGTATTATTTGTTCTAATTAAGTGAAAAATGCTGTTGGCATTTTTGGTAAGGATTGCATTGAATCTGTAGATTACTTCAGGTAGTATGGAAATTTTAACAGTATTATTTGTTCTAATCCATGAGCATGGTATATCTTCCCATTTATTTGTGACATCTTCTATTTCTTTCATTAATGCCTTATAGTTTTCAGAATACAGGTGTTTCACCTCTGTGGTTAAATTACTTCCTAGGTATTTTTATTGGTTTTAATGCAATTGTAAATGAGATTGTTTTCTTAATTTCTCTTTCTGCTACTTTGGTATTAGTATAGAAACAACTGATTTCTGTATATTAATTTTGTATCCTGTAACTTTACGAATTCACGTAGTAGTTCTAATAGTTTTTGGTGAATTCTTTAGGGTTGACTATATATAATATGTTGTTATTTGCAAATAGTGACAAGTTTTACTTCTTCCTTCCCAACTTGGATGCCTTTTCTTTTTCCTCTCTAACCTGCTTTGGTTAGGTCTTCCAATGCTATGTTGAATAAAAGTGGTGAAAGTAGGCATTCTAGTCTTGTTTCTAATCTTAGAATAAAAGCTTTCAGCATTTCACCATTGAATATGATGTTAGCTGTAGCTTTCTCATATATGGCCTTTCTTATGTTGAAGTATGTTCGCTCTATACTCACTTTGTTAATAGTTTTAATCATGAATGGATGTTGCCTTTTGACAAACGTTTTTTCTGCATCTGTTGAGATGGTCATATGATTTTTATCCTTCATTTTGTTAATGTGCCATATCACATTGATTTGTGAATATTGAACCATTCTTGCATCCCTGGACTATATCAGGGTCATGCTGGCCTCACCTCACAGAATGAATTTGTCCTTCCTGTTTTTTTTTTTTTTTTAAAGATTTTATTTATTTGAGAGAGAAAGAATGAGACAGAGAGAGCATGAGAGGGGGGAGTGTCAGTGGGAGAAGCAGACGCCCTGCTGAGCAGGGAGCCCGATGTGGGACTCGATCCTGGGACTCCAGGATCATGCCCTGAGCCAAAGGCAGTCGCTTAACCAACTGAGCCACCCAGGTGCCCCATTGTCCTTCCTCTTAAATAATTTTGTAATAGTTGGGAGAAGGATAGGTATGAACTCTTCTTTGAATGTTTGGTAGAATTCACCTCTGAAGACATCTGTTTGTTGGGCATTTTTGATTACTAATTCAATTTCATTTCTAGTAATTGATCTGTTCAGATTTTCTGTTTCTTCCTGATTCAGTCTTGGAAGAGTGTATATTTTTAGGAATTTATCCATTTCTTCTAGGTCATACAAGTTTTTAGCATATAATTTTTAATAATAGTCTCTTATGAGTCTTTGTATTTCTGTTGTGTCAGTTGAAACTTCTCTTTAATTTTGGACTTTATTTTTTTGAGTCCTCTCTTTTTTTCTTGGTGCACCTGGCTGTAGGTTTTTGTTTTTTTTAAATAACCTCATAATTTTGTTCATTTTTTCTATTCTAATTCTATTTTCTACTGGTTTTTAAAGTCTGTTTCATTTATTTCTGCTCTGATATTTATTTGTTCTTTCCTTCTGTGACCTTAGGCTTTGTTTGTTGTTCTTTTTCTAGTTCCTTTAGGAGTGAGGTTAGATTATTTGAGATTTTTCTTGTTTCTT